GTCCAGCCTGTGCTCTGCCCCTCCTAGCGGACGCCAAGATCCGCGGCACCCTGCTCTTGGCGGCCTTCTTTATTGCATTTCCGTACCACACAGTCTCCCCACCAAGTCCACCCACTGCCGCCGTTGGTGCCAAGGCTGCACCACGACACGACCGGCTCATCGATGCATTCCAGAGTTCAGACTACATGTTGGACCGACTGCCCAGCATATCGACCCAGACCTGCTTCACTCCCCTCACACCGAACACCAAAGCGGAATTGCAAACACTGTCGGAAATCCTCGCCACGATTATCACCAGTCGTTGTGATTCCGGCGCTTGTCACCTCAGTGGTAAACAGATATAGACAATCACCCAGATTTTTAACTACTTTTATCATTGACTATGACGAAACCATCATGACTAGAAGCTTTAATATACATATTTTTAGTAAACTGTGCAAGACGATGTCGTGGTTTTTTCCAATAAACTTTGGGAAGGGGGGAGGCTGCGACTTGGACTCCGTAAGGTTAAGTATCCGTGCTATTAAGTGTCTTGAGATTGCCGAGCATTATAAATGCGCTGGGAAGTCCCGATCTTGTACCTAACAGGTGGTTTGATTAGGATTTATCTTAGGAGTGCTGACTCTGTTGGGTTATTGCTAAGAGGCATCACCGTCTAATATGCTATTAGGTTTTTTATTTGCGAAATTGTCTGACGTTATTTGCCTCCAAATGTTAGGAGGAGTACTTGGATACATCATCTTGTCAAAGGCAGGGAAGTGGGGTGCCACAGAGCAACAAGCTCCTCCCTGAACTCCGAGCTTCTGCTTAGTTTTCAGGCTCCTTTTACAAAACCTAGCTACCTGATTGGAGGCTTGGCTTGATCAGTACTGGTCATGACAGCGTTTTTGATTTGTGGCAGGAACACTCGCCAGGTGGACCGTCGCAGTCGACTGGGTCTAATATGGACCAGGGATCGTGGCGGCGACTTTCACCTTCATCCATGATGAAGCAGACAGGCGTAGACTTTACCATATTCCAGAGTCAAGATGAGTACAGATGGGCGTGTTTTCAGTGGCTGGCAAGGCGAAGCTACATCTGTACGCGCGAAACCCACTAAACCCTGCGCCTGTGTCCTAGACTCCCTCCCAGCCTCCATATTAGTCAGTTTTCGACTGCCATCGCAAAGGGATGATGCATACGCCACAGTTCGACGTCATTGCTGTCTGCTCTTCATTTTGGCGATTGGTGGAATTTCCCTACGTGATAGTAAAAAATAGCGGCTGCCCTTGTGTAGTGAGGGAAGCGCGGAGTTGGCCTCTCCCCTATGCCAGTAGCGTGCGCGGGTCAGGCTGATTGGAGGTGGCACTGGGACAGTGGTTGACATGATATAATACGCTCTTTTGAGCCATCTCATGTGCGGAATTGGGTTTCGGAAATAAGAAGCCTCATAAGGGTTA